ATTTACGAAGTATACGCAGATACGAGGCATTTACACGTTTATATGAATACCCTGATTATTTGTGATCGAAAAAAAAGATCAAATAGATAATAATTATTTCCATTGAACGGAAAAATAAAACTCAATAATAATTATTATTTTTAAGTGAAAAAAGTCATAAAATAATGTTTAAATGCTGATTTAAATTATGTTATTCATATTGATTGCAGTCCCACCTTATACGGCGTTTCGCCACAAATCTCATAAAATGAACTTCTCTGTTTCCTACATTTTTCCAAAAATTCAAAGTCAACATTTTTATACTTAGAAAAAGCACAAATGACTGTCAGAAGCCTTTATTTTCTACATTTTTTAATAGTAGGAGATCCGACAAAGGCACGACCTTCACCCATGTGTTTAATGGAAGAAATCTACTTTGTATGAAATTTAACGTGGAAATATTTCGCGAGTGGGTTGGTTGAAAAAATCTTGGCCATGATATTTTTAATTAAATTATTATTATTATTTTTTTTTTAATTTTGCACTCATTTCTTTCATGAACAAATTACATAAGCATAAAGCCTATAGAATGTGTGAAACAGTTGAGTAAAAATTACTAATATTACCTACCGCCAACCCGACAGGTAGGCCAGGAAAAAATAGACAACCCAACGTTTTCACATTCTATAGGCCTAATACTTTCGATTGGTATATAATTTGTTCATTAAACAAATGAGTACAAAATTAAAAAAATAATAATAATTTTAGAATATTTAATTATAAATATCCTGGGTAGGATTTTTTCAGCCAACCCATTCGCAAAATCTTTATTAACACGTTAAATTTCATAGAAAAAAAATTTCATCCATTAAACAGATGGGTGAAGGTCGTGGCCTTTGTGGGACCTTAAGGTGCCCACACTCACCGAAGTGTACGTATGCCGTGTCTGTTTGACGTAACAATATATAAAATTTACTGTTGATTGAGAGAGAGAAGCACGCGTAATCGTCGCACGAACACGGTGGTGAGTTTTCATTTACATGACGCTCTGATAAGTTTGATCGTGTCAGCTGACACGTTAACGACCGTGGAAACACAATGCCGGCGAACAGCGAACTCACCACAGCGAAATTACCGCTGTCAAAATTAGAACACCCGCCGGCATATGAAATTGAACACAGCCAAAGCGAAATGCGAAGTTCGCTCGGCGGCGTTTCGTGGCGATAGATTTATTTCTATCGCTCTGTTGAAAAATACAGTGATCGATTCGTTAAATCTGGCTTAAAATAAAATAATTTATAATAATTCCCCCTCGCCTTATATTTTTATATTTGTTATCATTTCATCATTTTTAAATATGGTTTCGTTTTTCAAAATATGGTCACCTAACTTATAAGTGCGACGAAATGGTATCAGCGGTTTTCGCTACCGCTCTAATTCTGTTAAATTAGGTGAAATAGCAGGGCGAACGGTGAACGACGGCATCGCCCAATTCGGCGAACTTCGCCGGGTAAATGAAAACTCACCACCGTGTACGTGCGACGATTATGCGTGCGTCTCTCTCTCTCTCTCTCTATCAACAGTAAATTTTATATGTTGTTACGTCAAACAGACGCGGCATACGTACACGTCGGTGAGTGTGGGCACCTTTAGACTATAACCGAATTGGATGATTCTTGTTTTGTTTAAAATGCGGACAGCAAGAGTACGGTTTATTTTCTTTTCCTAATGCGGGATGGCAGGGTTAGTTTTTGGAAAAACCCGGTCCGCAATGCCAATTAGAGATAAAATAAATTTCTTTTGTAACAGGTCCTTTAATAAATGAGAAACAAGAATAATCTTGTGGATTCGATTCATATTTTTTTTTTTTTAACTACAAAAATTTATTTCTGTTAAGAATGAAACGTTCATAAAAATGAATAATGATTTGATAAATTGTGGGAAAAATTCTGTTGCATTGAACATTTTTTTTTTACCACAAATCTCTTTCAATGATGTTAACGATTTTTTTCTGACATTTATGATCTGGGATGGATATTGTTCAATCCGCGAAGTCATGTAAAAATTATTTATCATGAATAGGTTGGGTTTTTCAGGGTTTTACAAAACTTCTGAACAAATTCTACTTGAGTTTTATTTTCTCAATAGATAACACTAGGCTTTTATGTACATATAATGCATAGAAATGTTAAATGCATAATAAAAAAAACACACACCAGGCATATACTTTTATAAGTGACTGTGGTTGAACAAAACTCTTGACAACTTATATATCTATTTACATAGTATATGTATGTATATATATGTATACCTATATATATGTACTTAGTAGACTTTTTGTATGTGCATACATAGTTATGTGGCTTGTATTTGCTTTTTTTAGTCGAGTGTACTTATGTAGATTCCCACGGTGGTTGACTTTGTAAAAATCAAGAATGAAAGAATGCAAGATTGCGCCCATTAGAGAGAATTTTTGATAATAATTTTTGTGTGTCGTCACACTGGTGCAGTTGCGAAGTTGTTGCAGGTCACTGAGATTTCACGCAGAGGATTTGTAGGTATATATTAAGAAAAATTTTAAATTTCAGTAAAAACGGATGAAGGACACTAGAACTGAAAACTAAACACAGAGGTTTTATGTACCAAATTTAGTCCGATTGCAAAAAATTCTATATTTTCAATATATCTTTGGTAAATATTACTCGCTCTGTCCCTAATAATTACCAAATTGAAGGCGAGACTTACTGTTACTAATTTATGATAATAATATGATGAAAATCGTTCAGATTATAAAAAAGAATATTGAAACAAGAAAGGTGAACAAAACTTTCTGTCAACTTCCTATATTTGCAATTTTTATATTGTATGCATAAACATATGTAGGTAAACTAATTAGTGTTTGTAGAAGTTGTGCCTGTTCAGTGTTTCCATAGCCATTTTCCTAAACAAAATTTTTCCACGGTGACGGAAAATAATGGCTTTTATATTAGAGCTAACGACATTGTTCCTAAAATTGAAAAAATTCGCAACTATAGCTAGATAATATTAAAAGAAGATTAGAATAGTTGGAGCCAGCGACCTAAATGCACCCCAGTATTTCTGTTCTATTCTTTACATCTTTTGACTAGTGCAATTATCAAGAGAACAATTAAAATTTTACTGAGAAAAGATCAGTTTTAGATGAAAGGTAAGCTAAAGGGCTTATCTAATAATATGCACCAAACCTTTTTGCTGAACCCAGAATTTTTAACAAGAATTGGTCATATTCGACTAGTGTGCTGTGTGTCACTTGGCGGTTGATGCGCGGGCTCTTACAATTAAAATAAAATACTAATATTTTGCAGGCTTGTTGTTGACTTCATTATACAATAGATATATTTTCATTATTAACAAGGGATTTGAGAAAAATTAGATTTTCCACCCGCCCTAAAGCACAATGTTTGGTTCTGAAAAACTTTTGTTAAATTATCTCGCATACTCTCATTTACTAATCATAGAATATGAATTAACTGCCGATATTTGCTTTATCTTATGCCCACTCGTTCTTTAGCACATCATACGTAAGTACTTACTTGCATATACATATGTATGTAGTCGCTCACTAACTGTTTTGAGTATTCTTCCATTAATATTGTTGTTACATATTTTGTTATTTATCTGAAACTGATTCCGTTACAAATATTTATTTTGCTAATGTGGGATTTAATATCTACTGTAAAATAATTCTGAGGTCATGTAGAAGTATAAGCTACATATTTAACATAGCTGCCCGTATATTTTGGTCAACTAAAATTAATTTAAATGACCAAATATAATACACAATATTCTGCAAGTTCAAATATGTGAAAGCTCCTCCTAAAAAATATACGAAATTGGAGCATTTTTAAAGAAACTCCTTTTTTGCAAAATAACGCACGACAAAGTTAAGATTTTGTATTACAGGTTGTGTTACAAATATGGCTTCGGATCAAGGAGTTGCAGCCGAAATACATAAGTGTAATTGAATTGTACATTTTTCCATCCAGCAGGTCTTGTTGATTTAAAGCATAGCATTTTTTTCGGCACTTTAAAAATTCGTAAATGCACTTTTTTTTATGGTACTTAATGCTTATGTCTGAAATAAACACAGGAGAAACCCACGAACTTCAGAAGAATAAAACATACAGTTGTTTAAGCAGCATAATACAAAAATGTACAACCTTTTGAAATCAACATATAAAAGCCGTTAATTAATTAAGCAGGGATCATACGATTTGTACATTTTTACACAACTCTACATTTTGACAGTTACAGAGTGGGGTTCGGAAAAATTTTTATTGAGCTGAACTCATTCTCGATAAAAATTTCTAGACAACACCACTCTGTTACTGCCAAAATGTACAAGTGTACAAATGGTATGATCCCTGCTTTAGATATTTTCTTTTACAGAATCAAAATTTTGGAAACAAATTGCGGTTATGTTTATTCTCGAGTATTTACCGTCGATTGGCATACAAAATTTTCCGAATTTGCCAACTTAATGTTTACCATTTTTGGCCGCACTCGTTACACTGTGCGCTGCCTTATATTACCGGTTTTTGCTTAGATTATGTTGTTGCTTTTGGTGGTGACTAGTTGCTGGAAATGTGAGCGCTCTGTGGCTGTCATTTCAGATTTTTTTTAATTGTACATATCTATGTATATATGTTCAGCGCACACGCATGTCAGCGCTGCGTTGCTGCCATCTCCGCTGACGAGTGAGTCTACAGCCATTTCGCTTGGTTTGATGCGGCCTTCCTTGCTACAATGCACTTTGCCTTACAATTTTAGAACGCGCTGTTGCGGCCATTCCACTGACTTCTCTTAGCCCGGTCGAAGACACGCTAAAGCAAAAATGCTTATTGTGAATACATATGTATGTATATATATATATATATATAATACATATGAATGTATGCGCGTTTATGTTTTGTTTGTTGACTATCGTACCTCTGCCACGGTTCTGCATTTATGCAAGCACAACACACACCAGCTCGTGCGCTTCGACAACGACATAGTCGTCATCGGCTTGGTCGTTTATATACACTCGTTTTTGTTGGTTTGTTGGTGTATTTTTTCGCTTGAGAGCTCATTACCGTTTCGCTTCGCTAAGTGCGCTGTATCGCTTGGGAGCCAGCAACGCGTTATCCCAAGTCAATCGGCCCGCCAAGGGAAGTCAAACCAAACCAAGTCAAATAACCAAAATCAAAATTCACCAAGCTGTGAAAAAGTCCCGAACTTATACTTTTTTCAAAAGTTTTTCTTTATCGGTGTCTCTGCGCGCTTATGCAATAAATATCATATGCCTGGCTACAGGTGTTCGTCTGTGTATGTGCCAATGGTCAGACGTATCTAATTGCCTAAAATCTCTAAAATTTCACACTTAAAAAGTAGTGAAAAAGAATTAATATTTAAAAGCTCCAACGCGCTAATTAATTAAACGTGCCGGCATGGAAATACTCATATGCGAAAAGTCCGCGACGATCGGGTCAAACAAATCGTAGGAAAACGAATATATAAATTGCGATATTTTAGTGTTTAAAATAGCAAAAAAGTTCAAGGCTGAAACCTGAAACACATATACTACATATGACATCGAGATGCAAGCTCTGGCAGGGAAAAGGAAAAATAAAGGTACATATAAACTAAACATAAAAAACCCACCGCTGCATATAACAGAAACCAAAGTTTCAATTAGAAAATAAATAAACGACTGCAGAAAAATACTTAGCCAACGAAATTTACGGAAAATCACAATTTGTTGTAATTATTGCGCGCCAATTCAAAATGCGACGGTGTTGTGCTATGTAGCACGCTGCTATGTCGAAGCCGTCAGCACCGCGCCGATATTTACAATCCACTAAATCTAATTTGCAAATAATAAAAATTACAACAATAACAATAACAAAATCCGAAACTAAAACGAATTTGGAAATGTTTACGAATCAAATATGCAATTGAAACTCTGACGAAATTATCGTCACGTGATTGTGAGTGAGTACGTTGTATGTGATAATCAAATAATGATATATGTCAATTGCAAAAAAAAAATTAAAAATATCTGTATAGCTGTGTATGTGTTTTAAATATGTGAAATGAATATGCTGTTTGGGCAAACCAAAAACCCTGTGAAAACCAACTAAATCGATCTCAAAATATGCACATATTTTTGAGAGCAAAATTTGTTGGTTAAAAAATATATACAAAATATATATATCTACAAAATAATAAAAAATAATTTAAAAAATCTAACGAATTCTGCATTAATACACGCTGCCGGATTTTCAGTTCACAATTCTGGATCTCTTAACTCACGCTATATATAATTAATATTTTACAAATCAAAAACATAAACAAACAAAAAACTTTCGATGATGATGCTAACTACAGAGCACCTCATGCATGGCCACGCGACGTCGGTCAGCCAGAGTGCGCTTTTCGGTTGCTCGACGGCTGGACACAGCGGCATCAATCAACTTGGTGGCGTGTATGTCAATGGCCGACCGCTGCCGGATTCTACGCGCCAGAAAATCGTCGAATTAGCGCATTCCGGTGCGCGTCCCTGTGATATATCGCGCATCCTGCAGGTGTCCAACGGATGTGTTAGTAAAATTCTGGGCAGGTAAGCGCTAACTTTGCACCGACGGGTTAAGTGAATACGCACCTTAAACGTAGTATGTAAGAAAAAACACATAAGCTCTGATCCAGTACTCCATGAACTTACAGGTTTTACATGAACTTGCAGGAAGTTACAGGAAAAATTATCCCGTACTCCAAATTCCTCCAAAATCCTGTAAATTAGAGCGATTTTTGGAGAGTGGTGTAGAGAATGAAGTTGCAAGATTTTACCCGAACTTTATCTTCTGGTAAAATCATGAAAAGTGTCAAGCGATCACTGGTTGACGTATTTACAGGAAAAATGCTTTTTTTGTTCCCGAACTTTTTGTTGTTACTCACTTTTTACTCTCACTTCAGAGAGTAATTTTGCTGTTTCACATTTTTACAGGATTTTACACGAAAAGTATTGGATCAGAGCTATTGTGATCTTTGTACTATTCCATTATATATATGTATGTATTTAAAAAGCCGCAGATTCAGGGATGGAGTTTCAAAAATTTCAGAATGTGCATAAAGTACTGCAATCATAGTGCCGAAAAGGAGATGAAAGTACCACAAAATTAAAATTGTTTTATTTAAAAGCGTTTTAAGAAAAATGTATTTTGAGAAATAGTATTTCTAAAGCACACTGATAAATATCATAAAAAGTGATTAAAATGCAAATACTTATACCACCAGAAGACCTTTCTGGCGGTTTTCGGGCACGAAGAATCTGAATCTTCAGGTTATTTTTTACCAAAAATGTCGCAGCTGCTGGGTGCACTATTCTAGTTGATTCCAAAGATATTTTTTTTTAATATTTTTATTAAAAGTTAACAAAACTTAATTTATTTGTATGTTGTTAGCAATTCGAGAAAAGTTTGTATAATAATGAAAATTTTCTGTTTGATTGACGAACCACAAAAATCACATAAATCTAAAATTTCCAAAATTACAAAGTTGAAATGAACACAGTACAATAAAAGGTAATAACACAAATACAAACCCTACAATACTCCCCCTTCTAGAGAATTAATATTATATAAATTAAAAGTAACTCGTTTCTTATTTGATGTTGTGTTATTCATTGTATTAGTGTTTGTTTCTGGTATTACTTCTGTTTCAATGATTGCAGGTTTTAGTCTGTCTATCGGAATTGTTTTAACCTCATTATCTACTTCAAGTTTGAAATATTTTTTTGTTTTTTTCAACAACCTTATAAGGTCCTTCGTATGGTTGTTGCAATGATCTTTTATTAATAACACGCATAAAAACAAATTTACAAGTCTCCAAATCCTTTGGTATATATACACCAGTATCAGAATTTTGATTATGCCTTAAATTTGATTTAACATTTTTAAAATGTTCCCGTAAATTGCCTAAAACTTCAATTGGGGAAAATTTTTCTTCAGATGGAACAACAAGTTCACCGGGTAGGCGTAAATTTTGCCCAAAAACCATCTCAGATGATGTGGCTGAAATACTTTCTTTATACATCGATCGTAAACCAAGAAGTATTATCGGCAGCTCATCATACCAATTGTTGATTCCATTTCTAGCCATTATCGTAGCTTTTAACTGCCTGTGAAACCGTTCTACCATACCATTCCCTTGAGGATGATACGCAGAAGTTGTAACGTGATGACTACCAAGCAATTTTGTTAGTTCCGAAAACAATTTTGACATAAACTGAGTACCCTGATCTGTAGTGATTTTTAACGGTACCCCAAAACGTGAAACATATTCTCTAAAAAATTTATTTGCAACCACTGCCGCTGAAATGTCCTTTAATGCATATGCCTCGGGCCAACGCGTGAACCTGTCAACTATTGTAAAAATGTAACGTAGTCCTTTCGATACAGGAAGAGGTCCACCAATATCTAAATGAATATGATCAAATCTACTTTTGAGAATCGGAATTTTAATTACTGGAGATTTAGTGTGACGATTAACCTTCGATTTTTGACAATTTATACATTCTTTTGACCAAATATTAATTTCTTTGTGCATTTTTGGCCAATAGTACTTTTTAATAATTAGACGACGTGTAGCTTTTGTACTAGGATGTGTAATGCCATGTAACATATTAAACACTGTCTTGCGTAAACAATTTGGAACAAATGGCCTAGGATTCTCACTTGTCATTTCACACCAAATATTAAAATTTAAAGGTGGAATTTGAATTAATTTAAGGTTATGTGATGTGTCTCCAGATTTAAATGTGTTTAGTTCCTCGTCCTGTTCTTGTTCATTTTGTAAAACTTTGAAATTCAGTTCTGTACACTTAATTGCATCAACTTCGAAAGCTCGAGATAATGTGTCAGCTATAATGTTCTCCTGTCCTTTAATATATCGTATGTCATTAGTAAATTGTGCAATGAATTCCATATGTCTAGTTTGTCTCGGACTACGTTCGGTTTTTGAACTCAAAGCATATATCAAAGGCTTGTGATCTGTAAAAACTGTAAATAGCTAGCAAGTCCCTGTCAAATGCACTGTACTTAACCTCGGATGGAGAAAGTTTCTTAGAAAAAAAGCTAGTGGCTCTGATTTGTTATCAAACGTTTGATGTATGACACCACCAATTGCCGTATTAGATGCATCCACATTTAAAGAGAGTTTGGCATCTTTGTTAAAATGATTTAACAATATCGTAGACGCAAACTTTTCTTTAATACATTCAAAGGCTTTATTTGTTGTGTCATCCCAAATTAAGGACTTGTCACGTTTCTTAGTTGTTCGATTGATTAAATCGTAGATAACTGCCGTAAACTCAGCTAATTTTGGTACATATCGATGGTAATAATTAACCATGCCTATAAATTTCTGCGCCTGTTTAATAGATTTAGGACGTTCAAAACTACGAATAGCTATCACTTTTTCATCAGAGGGTCTAATTCCTGCCCCAGAAATATTATGTCCTAAAAAATCAACATTTGTAACACCGAAAGTACATTTACTTGGTTTGATATTTAACCCGTACTCTGTTAGGCGTTGGAAAAGTATACGGAGATCTTTAAAATGCTGTTCTTCATTTTCACTTGCAACCAATAGATCATCAATATATGTAAAAACAAAATCTAAACCACTAACTACTTCATTAATAAATCTTTGAAAAGTTTGCGCTGAATTTCTTAGTCCGAAAGGCATTCGTATAAATTCAAACATACCGAAAGGTGTCGTTATTGCAGTTTTATAGATATCCTCTTCTGCCATTGGAATTTGGTGGTAGGCCCTTACCAAATCTAATTTCGAAAATATATACTTATTTCTGAGATTCATGTTAAAATCTTGAATATGAGGTAAAGGATCACATTACGGTACAGTCACAACATTAAGTCTCCGAAAATCACCACAAGGACGCCAGTCATTCAGTTCTTTTTTAGGTACAAGATGCAGTGGAGATGCTACACAAGAATTTGAAGGTCTACAAATCCCTGTCCTCACTAAAAAATCGAATTCAGTTTTGGCTACTTTAAATTTAATCGGATCCAAGCGCCTTGGCTTAGAGAATGGCAGATTTCCTTCAGTAAAAAGTCTGTGAACCGTAGAATGTTTAACCGGTTTCGAATAATCTGGTTCAGCGATCAAAGAAGGAAACTCCTTCAACAATCTTGTATACTTGTTCTCTACTACGAAAATTTTTGGAAGCGAAATGTTACAAACACATGAAACTGTGTTAACCGAAAGACTTGTTACTGGATCAACTAAACGTTTGCATTTCATGTCAATTAAGAGACCGTATTTGCAAAGAAAATCTGCACCAATAATAGGTTTCGCAATATCAGCTATGAGAAACGTAAATGGGAACTCACGTCTTAAACTTAAATTTATATTTCAAATCTTTTTACCGTACGTTGAAATCGTTGAACCATTGGCTGCAGTAAGTATTATATCTGAAGAACGTTTTGTATGAGGGAATTTTTTTACCGGAAGTATAGAAATTTCTGCTCCACTATCAATCAAAAAATTTAGTTTGTTTGTTTTATCAAAAATAAATAGGCGACGTGTGGTAATATCTAAATTTCCATTGTTTGCCGCCACAACAACGGATGACTCTAGTTTAACGAATTTTTGTTTTTAGAAAAAGCACAAGGCTGTTGATATTTCTGAGCCTTACCACCAAATTTGTAATGGTATCTACACAATCAATTTTGACTATCACGAGATTTTGATCTACCTCTTTATGGACTTCTAAAACAATTCCTATTATATGATCTATATCTAGAATTTTGATTAATTTGTTGCTTAATAGAATTTAATTCAAAGGAAAGTTTTTGAAAATTTTCGCACATAAGATTCGTCGTTTTAACTAAATTCTCAATAATTGTGTCTTGTGATTTAGAATTTTGAAAACTATTCACTTTTTTTTATTTTTCACTTGGTTGCTGAAGTAATGAAGAATTGAAAATCTATAAGGGAAAATTATAGTTTTTGTAAGTTTTATCTTAATATCTTAAAAATTTAAGACTTATTGAAAAATGATAAATGAACGTGAGGTACTAAATTTAATAACCCTTAATTTGATATATCGTCCTATTTATAAAAATTAACGCATTCCATAGATATTACCAGCCAAAGTTTCATTTTCAAAATTCGTATACTTTGATGCAATTGCGCGGGCTAAAGATAAGTATTAAATTAATCTTTCGTGGCCAATAAGAATTAACTAAGACCTAAGACAATATAATATTACTATTACCATGCGGTCAAACGACTTTTATTTTCCCCCATACAAAATCGACCCAGCCTACTATTCATAGCTGATATTTCGGTTTTATTAATCACTTCCCAAATATTATCAGCTAGTTTCACCAATTCATTTATATCATTGGTACTTGAACTAGCTAATATCACACTAAGATTTTTTGGCAATTTTCTCAGCCAAAGTTTCTTTAAAATATCTTGACTAAAATTGGAACCTGCAAGCAACATCAGCGACCGATAAAATTCAGAGGGTTTACGATCACCCCTCTCTGAATCTGACAAAATTTTATCTAATTTCTTATTTTCGCTTAAAGAATG